AGAAATCTTATTTGCTAGTAATTAAGAGCCCAGTTAGCCAATGCAGCATCTATTTAGAAATAATATATTTACATATTTACATGATGGAAGAAGAGCAGACTAGTATAATTATTTTTGGTCTTATGAATTGTTTAGAATTGTCCATGTTATGAAAACACTAGCATTCATTCTCTAGCATTTTAGAAAAGGAAGCAGGCAGACCTACAAAATGCTCAAATGTTTCAACTCTCTTTGCTGTGCATGCAGGTACACATAGGCACAACAACAAAAACGTGTGTGGTTTTTTAAATTGAACACTGAAGGCTCTCAGAGCGTGAGCTATCTTTCCATGCCTCCACTAAGAAAAATACAATTTCCTTATTGTGCATTTCCTTACATAATGCTCTTCTGGGACAGTGCTTCAGCCATCACTGGATCACCACTATTTAGATACGGATACATGAGTCTCATATTTTTATTCTAAATTCAAGTTCACTCATCATATCTAATGCCCTTGAAGCAATCTCAAATTACTGCTGTGATACGGGTCACTAGAAACCAGAGGTACTAACACAAATTTTAAAGAGAGAGGGTGGGGGAGAGCCCTACTCAATTAGATGACGGCGCGCGGTTTAATCAATTTAGTTTTATCACGACATCTAGTCCTTCCTCTTGAGCTGTCAGACAACGAGGCAGGCGGGAGCACGGGGACGCGTGGTGCTGGTGCGGGGCTGGGTCCCCACCAGCCGGGATGAGGCACGGTCCTGTGACACCCAGGCCGTGACAGGGGCGAAGGAGCCCCACCGCCTGCCCACCTCATCCTTAACACAATCTTTCTATTTCATTAATTTTTCATGGAATCCCGTTTCACAGCAAGCCTGTGTCTGTCGTCCATCTGCTGCACTTATTCTGTTCCTTTTGCCAACTTTTTATCTGCATTTCACCACAGTCAGCCAGCAGCCTGTGCTCCTGCCCTCCTGTGATTCGTCAGCTTACCTGTACAGAGCAACACCTTGCCTTGCTGTTTCCAAAACTCACCTCCAATTTTCTGAAACTCTGTGTAACCCCTCACCCTGCAACAATATCTAGATTTCAAGCATTAACTGATTTTGCTGCCAAATGCCTCAAAAAAAAAAAAAAAAAGAAAAAGAAAGAAAGAAAGAGAGAGAAAGAAAGGTCATGTGCTGATGACCGAATCCAATTCGCCAACTGAAAACAAATGATTGTTTATAGAGCATTTCGAATAGTTTTCCAAAGTTCCTTCTTTTTCTCTGTCTGGTATACACATTGTATGTGCTCATGGTCGAATACTAAAGATATTTTATTTACAAAATGCATTTCATGCTGATGCATAGTTTTTTGCAGGACAACCACACTCACGAAAGAAAGAGCAACACAAATACACAACAGAATGTAGGTCTTATTTTAATGATTAAAAATGCACCTATGCAATCCCTCGGACTCGTTACCCAGTGGTTGGGAGATTATCTGATAAAATCGGAAGTGATTTATCATTATATAGCATGCTGTTTCCATGAGTACCTCTTATTCCCCCTGGCTGAGTTGATACTAATTTTAAATAACCTTAAACCTTTACCTTCATCATTTTGGACTAAGTGACAGATCTTTGATAATATTCATGCACCCAAGTTCTTGTCGAGCATGGGAGACATTGCTCCAAGTACCTAAGGCAGACTCGGCTCTGCGCGATTGCCTCGCATCGTTCCACCCAGAGCTACAGAATCAAGTGCTGCCTCCCCGAACCCCCACGAGCAGTGAGCTACGAGGGTATTTAGTAGATAAATAAACTGCACAAACTACAAGAGCTCCCAGTGTTTTCTGACAACACGTCTCACATATTACACAGCGTGAGCAACCCTTAGCCACCCACATGTGTAAAAATTACACGGCTTGCTTCTCCTTTACACTGTTTTGTTTGTTTGTTTTTTTAGTTGCCTATTTTTCTTCTACCCGAAACTCAAATTTTGACATTTTTTTCACGTGTGCAGAAAATGTAAATCGCTCATAAATAATTTCTAAGAGAAAGTCCCAACTAAAAAGTAACACACCGAGAAAATGCAAAAATACATCATATTGGGTCCTGATAAGAGAACGGAGAGAGATTGGTGGGTGGGTAGGTTTGCTCTGAGCATCTTCTTTAAAGTTTATCTGGGAGACAAATGCAGGTCCTGGCTAGTTCATACCTGGGACTAAGTTTTTTGGGGGGGTTCTTACAGATATATACCACTCCCTGTGTGGTACTGTGACTAAAAATACCGAGTACAGAAAAATATTTTATTTCTGAGGCCTTGGACCTTACTTAAGACTAATGCAAGCATCGTACCAATCCCACACTTAAGCTGTAGCTACAGTTTTAATTTCCAAACCCATGGATTATTTTGACAATAATAAGTGGGGTAAAAAGAAAAATCATGTCAAAGCCACTTTCGGAGTTTACACACAGAAAACACAGCTTTTCACGGCCCCGGGAGCTAAAAGTTAAGATGCATCTTCAAAAATCACCCTTGTTCCTTAGAATAGGGGGACAAATACGTACCACTGGCAAATAAGGCTAACATTTATTCTAATTTATTTTTTCCCATATAAGAAGAGCCCTTTGCTTTGTGCTCACAATCAGTGCCTCCAGTTAGTACTCAATAGAGCCTTACACAAATTCCTTCACAACCACCAATGCACACATGGATTTTAAATTGTGACAAATACAGAGTTTTTCTAAATGGACGAGCTTAAAAGCCGAGGCCATCCTATTCAACCCTGCTGTTGAGATTCATGACAGTTAGAGCATAATTTAAATTCACCATTTTTCTTGGAAAAACAAGGATCTGTAATGACTAGGAATTACACATAGACTGACCTATTCCAAGCCAGTGCACATAACGGTTTAACATGTCCCATAATTGCTATGTTTTCTTTTTAATTTGCTCACTTACACTTATATTATTAACTTTTCCCTGAGAAGTGAATATTTGGCAGTTTGAGTTGATTCTCCTACCGAGGTAGCTGCCGGCAGACGCCACAGGAGATTTCACCCCCACACGTAAATCTACGAGGCATAGGAATTAGCACATGCATTCTCATGAGCCTTTCCCACCTCAGTTTTTGGGAATGAAAATGAAGATACTTGGTTTATTTGAAATAACCAAGGCACAGAGATATTTCACATTGAAATTTCACTTTGAATTGTTGTAGTTAAGTTTATAGCAAATGAAGCCTTCCTTCAGATTTCTTGTTTTTCTTTCCCAAATTGGATGCTTCCTAAGCCAGCATGGCTGACATTTAAAGGTAAGAAAAATGAATTTGGAGAAAGGCACCAACGTCCGTCAGCTTGTATTTTATTTCTGTAGAATGCTGTTTTATTGTGAAATGTTAGTCCATAGTCTTCCATTTTAATAGTTAAAATAGACTAAACGAAGATACTGGGAAACATGAACACTTAGAATTTACAAGATAATGTTTCCTTTCTTCCTCTCTTAAAAGTTATAGTCATTATTAAATTCTGTGATTCCTGCCCCCATATTGTTGTCACTTTCCGTTGGCATTGTTTTGGAAGGCACCAACAGATCCGTGTCAAGATGAAATTTGCAGGGAACAAAGTGAGCAGCCGGCACCGCTCTGGCCGCTCTGAGAGTTAAACAGGATCACAGAATCCCCCCGTTCCGAAGCCCAGGGCTCTGACACCCCCCGGGAAGGTGTCAGCCACCTCTGCTCCCGGCGGTCCTGACACAAAGCCCTCAGCAGTGACTGATATTGGCTCGGATATCTCCAAGCTGCCTGGCTAAGTCCTGTTATTGAAGAAGCCGTGAAGGGCTCGGGAATATTTGAGGGCAGCCAGGGAGGGCTGTGGCAGAAACTTAAGTTAGGCCACTGCAAAGATGAATATTCTCCGGGGAGGGTGAGCAACCTCCACCGTATCTAACAATGCATCCTGCAGCAGAAAACTGGAAAATCTGATAAATTTTAGTCATGTCTGCCCCACTGTTCCGTAGGGCTCTGTATTTACTCTTTTTTTTTTTTTTAAATCAGCACATTTCAAATAATAATCAGAGCTGAACTTTCTCCTGCAGACTCATCACAGGGAGCTGCTGATACCAAGTTCCTCTCTGGGAAAGAAAGAACAGGAGGCACTGGGAGAATCTTTCCCGGCTCCGGGGAGTGCGCGCAGGCGGCAGCAGCATTTTTAGGGCATTTTTCCTTGGCCCCCGTGTGGAAGCCCTGGGCTGGTGGTGGAATGCACTAAGTTCCCAGCGGCGGTCCCCAGAACACCAGTGACGGGCGCAGGAGCAACCTGTCATCAGGCTGCTTTTTCTCCCTTTCTGGTTTGCAGGGTTTTTTGTTTTTGCCACTAACCAGCTGTGTTGCCTATTTCTCTTTCCAGGTTTTAATTTTTGCGCCCCCCCCCCCCGGCCCCAGGACCAGCCAGTGCTTTCTGCAGGTCCCAGTGTTTATACAACAACGGGTACCAACCCGACTAAGAAGAAACTGTCAGCCAATTTGGAAACGTGACTGCCCAGGCTCTGCCCACTCCTTCCTCCCAGACAATTTGGATGGTCTAAGAGCTGGTTCCAGGAGGTCTTGTCCCTGTTTCTGAGGCTGCGGGCTTAAGTGAGTGTTTCCTCTGGCAGCGTGTGCTAAGGTCCCCTCTTTTGAAAGCGTCAGAGGCAGAGCCCCGGGCTGTGGAGCGCGCCAGGGAGGGAACTGTCCTCCAGTGAGGCTGCCGGGTGCTCCCCTCCGCTGCCCCTGCCTCCCTCCTCACGCCGCTCGCAGCCCAGGCTTCGCGGAGCCCGCCGCTCTGTTCCCGGTTCCCGGCTCCCCATCCCCTCTGAGCTCGCAGAAGCCCCGGCCCTTTACAAAAGGATCTGAACTGCGGCGCGCTCTGCTTTGTACCGACGCCCCGCCGGCCCCGAAAGTAGAGCTGCCGAAGCAGGCGGCCCCCGCAGACACGAGGAGGAGGGCGGACGAGCGTGCAGTTAGCGGAGCAGCGCAGAAAGCCAGGTCCTTACCTTTCCTCTTGGACCGCCGTCTCCTCCTTCTCTTAGACTTGCATTTGAGTTGACTGCTCAGCCCTCCGGACCCTCTGCTGGCCCCCAGCACCGATGCCATGGCTGAGACTGAGCGAGCAGAACGCGAGAGGAATCCTGTCTCCAACAGGCTCACCTTTCCTGCTCCCGCCGCCGCCGCTGCTGAAGGCTTCTGCAAGCCAGGGAGCGGGCTCACTTTTTAGGACCGAGCCCTCGCACGCTCCCGCCTCCTTCTCTCGAATTGCTCCGGGTCTCCGCCTCCAGCTGGGCTGAGAGCCCCGGGAGCAGCCCCGTGCCCAGCGGCTCCACGGCAGGGCAGGACGCGCGCGGGGAAGCAAAGGTGCGCCGGGCGGGCTGGGCGATCCCGCCCCAGCTCTCCTCTTCCGGGCGGCCTCTCTTGATCTGGGCTCCAGACGCAGGGCTCCTACTTTGGCACCTCTGCTAGTTGTTTGGCAGCAGACACTTTGAAGCCAATCAGGCAGGGAGCTTGTCTATTTGCTGCTGCAAGGTCTAATTAGGTCCAATCACAACTGTCTTCTGGCTCTGACATCAGCACCACCAGCCCTTCGCATCCCCTGTCAGCTTGCAAACTCAGCTCCCATTTGGACGGATGGAGCTGCCCAGGACCCGGTGGCAAGGGAAGGAGACGGCTCAGGCGGGAGGGGACAGCATGCAGAACCAGCTCATCTGGGAGCAGCCTGAGGGGGCCGCTCGCAGGAGGGCTGTACCCGGGGAGGCAGGCTTCCTGCCTCGGACCACAGGACAGCGCTTCCACTCTGCACACTCAGAAAGATGCAGTGACTATGTCTCCCCCCAAACAGTTCTTAACTAGTTAATTCATTAGAATGCTCCTTGTGCCAAGGGGGAAATATGTCTCTAAGAAATACGGAGACCTCACCTCCTCAGAAGGGGACTAAGATTTGCAATTCCCTGGAAGACAGCCTCTTAGGGGTATTCATTTTTCAGAGACTGCATGTTTGTCTGTTTGCTTGTTTGTTTTGTTTTGTTTTTTTTCCCTTCCTATCCCTTGGCTGTTCCCGTTGCCAAAGAGAGCTATTGCATAAAGACTGAAGTGTTGGGATCTGAGTCTGATTTTTAAGGAGAGGGATTTTAATGGGTTGCTTTATTTAGGTAACAATGAAATGAAACATAGGGAGGGCTTCCATCTGATGGTTTTATTGCCAAATATAACATTCGGATGAAAGAAAGTCATATTTACCAGGAGGTGGATTGCAAATTGAGATAGTTTTCAACAATTTTTTTTTTCAGGGCTATCCTATTGTTTTCAAGACTATACTTATGGAACACTAAAAATATAACGTAAGATATAAGAAGAAAAATAGCCAAGGCATCATTATTGCCTTTTGCATTCAAGTCCCATAAGCTATTAATTATAATAGTAATGATTTGGAAAAAAAAAATCCACCCGCAAAGTCATTAGCAAGCATATTTGTCATATGTTGATATGGAAATGGCACACAAGTATTTCTGTTATTTACTACTTTATACATACTGTTTCCAAGCTCTTTTTGGGCCTAGAAATGTCTAGATAATTTTCTTTTATAAGGAAAAATAACCCCTTAGGGGACATGGGAAACAATTAGGATGTTAGATGTGTTATGTGGTAAGCTGATGGATCAGAACTCATTTTTCATTGGTGAGAGAGAAGAGGACATGTGATTTCAAATCCTAGCTCCCCTGCTCTGACTTTGGGCAAGTAAACGGGGCCTCAGTTACCCTATCTGTGAAATGGGCATCACAATGACATCAGCTTCATGGCTTCATCCACACCTGAGAATCGGTATAAACAGTGACTGGTACATGTTAATTACTCTGTGATTGTTCAGTCAATTAATCCAGTAAATACTTTGGGGAGAATGAGTGTAGATCACAGGTGGACCTCAGAGAGAAGTAACTTTAACTCTTTGGTTCATTTCAGACTGATAAATGCAGTGGAACCAGGCCCCTCCTCTGTGCCTAATTCCACACTTGCACTCCCCCAACAGCACAGCTAAGTAAAACTGCTGATAATTTGTCTCGGATGTTGGACAGGTGCATGACTTGCCCATCTACTCTCTGTGACACAAGAGATATTTGAGAGCATAAACCACATGCCGAGACGCGGCTGGGGAACTCAGACTCTCCAGCTCCCTGCAACTCCCCTGCACAGGCACGAAGTTGTCCCACTTAAAACTGGTCCCCGAGTTCAGAAACTGAGGGAGGGTGTTTTAGGTGAGCCCTGCAAACAAGTGCATAGTCACCTTCAAGGCTGTTTGCATCCAGCGCTGGTCTTGCTCACACCCCCAGCATCACACCAGGCAGGGACTCCTGCTGTTTTGGAGCATGGGTATGAAAAGCAGAGAATACAGCTCCTTCTGCTTACATGTTGCTTCCGATTTCAGTGGGGGGGTGGGGGAGGGGTGGTGAAATCAAAACCTGTTTTTTAACACTTAGTGTAGATTCCAGTTTGAAGGTTGGTTAAGATAAAAATGTTGGCCAATCTTTGCCTTTCTTGAAGTTCCTCCAATCTGTTTGTTGTTTGTTTATTTTGGTGTAGTTTCTGCAAACATGTAGTTATTTTGGTGTAGTTTAGCCTAGAAATGTACTATTTTCTGTATTTATTTTGCATATGCTAATGCATCATGGATGAGGCAGGACTGGCGGTAGAGCCTCAGAAAAGTCTGTCCCTTGTAGGAGGAAAGGCTTTTGAACAGGTTCATGATTACAAATACTTTAACTCAAGGATGGCGTAAAGTGAGCCATGTCCACAATCTGCCATTCTTCTGATGAGCCTCTCCTCCTTTTGTCTGTTTCCTAGAACCCTTTGGCGAGGCTTGTCAGCCTCAAGTGATGAGCAGAAGCTGAAACAGGAACAGGAGCTGATGTCACCCATCGGGAGATGCCACTGGTCTGAGCCAGCCCCTGCCCTTCCCGTGGAACAAAGGACTGGGCAGGAGGCTCCCGGGACAGGCAAGGCTGCCCAGAGCCACCTGCGGTCCCGCACTGACCAGTGGCTGGGGCACTGCACAGGACGGAAGTAAGGGCTGCTCAGAGCCTGGCCCAAGGGAACCAGCTGGCCCAGAAACCGCCTCTGTGCCGAGGAAGGCGGCCCCCGTAGTGGCTGGGTGGGCTCTCCCCGGGCCTTCCCTCCCAGCGCTTGCTGGAACGCTAACCGCCCAGCTACTTTGGGTTACTTCCTCCCTGCCCACCTCTCCATACCTGCATGGACCATGAGGGGTGCCACATCTGTGGAGGACACTGAGCCGGGTGCAGAAGAGCTCCCTCGGGATTTATGACCGTGGTTGCTGTTTGCTCGAGGTAAGGACAAAGTTGACGGCTTATCCTGCGACTCGTTTGATGTTCACAAAGACTCCGTGGGAGCAGGACTGAAATTCAGTTCCTTTGACACAAGAGGACATGGAGGCCTAGAGAACTTAGGAAACTTGCCACGGGTGGCGGGGGTTAGATCGAGGGCCCGCACCTGCTCTGCTCTGCCAGTTTTTATTCTGGAGTCTGAGATTGGTGTGTTTTGTGAGCTTCTACAAGCCTGCCCTGAGATACTGACATTCTATCAAATAGTGACTCTGAGCTTCAGTGTTTATGTGTGTGTGTGATTTATAAATGTGTAGGGTTACATAACACATAGAAATAACTCCTACCTATACCTACACCTGTACCTTTACTTGGCACCTGGATATCTCTATGAGCCTCTGGATATATACAGGTATCTTTGAATATCTAGATGTGAGCGTGCACGTGTGTATGAGTGAGGAGCTGGTCACCAAGGCTTGCTGTGGCTTCCACTATTCCTGGATACGCCTGCAGAGTCCCGTGCATGTGTTTATCAGTCTTGAGCACTCCATATTTATCTTTCTGTCTTAGAACAAGCCTACGATGTGGGCAGGAAAGACCTCATTGTCCTTACTTTCCCTGTGGGGTTAGGAAGGCTCTGACTGTTGGCGTGTCTAGACCAAAGTTGCATTACTAGATAGAGGGAGAGCCAAGACTCGGTTGGGATGTTCCAGCATATTCCAGAAAGAACCTGTATCAGAACTCTCAGGCTCACATAGCTGACCGGACCTTCTGTTTCTGCTGAAGAGGAACCTGAGGCCTGAACCAGGATGCATGGTTCAAGTAACTGCATCTTCCAGCCAAAATGCAAGTCCTTTTATTGCCATACCTGCGTGTTTTCCTCTGGACTTCTTGGCCAACATACAATGATTTCACTTCTTAATTCATCACAAAGTCTATATTTCTAATCAGTTAAAAGTAGGTTCTGCAAAACAACTAAGAACACCCGCAGAAACTAACATGACTTATTTAGAGTCCGAATTTTGGCTAATATCCCGTCCCCTATGAGACAATGCCAGCTACGTGGAAAGTAGCAGAACAAAGGGTCCCCTGGACATGTGTATGTCTGCTGACTCACAACAGTCTCAGAGATGGCATGAAATTATTACCTTTCACAAACAGGGAAATAGCACAAGAGCGCTGTTTTACTCTTTCATCTTCGCCCATTGTTCTTAAATTTAAATAACTCACATCAAAGAACTTGGACATGAGACCTGAAAGTATTGGAAAATAATATATCAAGACAACAGCGGCTGAGACATGGGCATTCGTATTCACATTCCATCCCGGGGCACGGAGGGACCTCGGGGAGGCCCACAGGTGCGGGACACAGTGCTGAATGTGAAGATGCTCTTTGTACAAGGCTATTAGGAGAATTATTTTCTCTTTGTTCTTTTTCTTTCTCCTAAGCATGCCTATGGTTTGAGAGAACACCGGGCGCATTCTTATCAGGTTCCCGAATGAACATAGTGTAGGGCAGGTTTGTGAAGTCTCTTTTTCAGACCTCCATGGGATGTTACTTGTTGGCGCACGCATGCGCACACACATGTATATGCATTCTCAGGTCAGATAATTTTGGCATACAAAGTTTTCTTCATGGGCCAATATCACAGATTTTAATTCCAACGTACCCTTGCCAAAGCACATCTTCAGGCTAAAACTTACTTGAGTTCCGTATTAATGTTTAAAGGAACACTACTTGGAAAATACAGGGAAAGAGAAAAAACTTCAGAATTTGTCACCACCAGACCCGATTCGGATTCTACTTTATGTTGTACTATGTCCAGTTTTGGAAGTCACTTACCCCTCCTGAGCCACTTCTGTAAAAATGAGCAGAAGTAGCAGCACCAAGCTGCTGATGAGAACAAGGAGGCCAAGCTCCTTACGAACGGACCCTGAGATGCCAGAGTCACTGACGAGGTTTGCTTTTGCCTTTCAGCACACAGTGCCTTGGTTTTAATCAATGGCTCCCCCACAACCAGCAAAACAGATACAAATCAAGATGGTCTTTGAGATACACAGGGCCCACGAGAAGATGGCCTCTCCCTGCGTGGGCCCGGCAGGCACCGGGGCCCCATCCATCATGCAGCACATGTGACCGAGTCATTTATCTCTCCCGGAGCTAATTGTAACACTGACCCCTTTTCCTGCACATGCAGTGTCCTCTGGATGGG